GTCAGGCATATCTGTTACTTCTTCCAGGATCCGTGGTATAATCTTCGCTTCCTGCTTGGCACCAGTCACGGATGATGCATGACGAATCCAAGCTTTCAGTCGAATCTCGATGCCATGTTGTATATGCACAGGGATATTAGGCATACGAACATTTTGCAGGCCCTTGTACTGCCCTCTCGTGCTCATAGCACCCTCCACATTTACTTGCACTGTTCCATTATTCTCCCTTCCACCCCATCGTTTGTGACGCTCAGGCAAAGCGGATGCCGCCAACATCAAAAGCCATGACGACGTTGGATACTGGGCCTTCCGTTGGTAATACCACATGTGCGAGCGACGAGCTTGACTGGTATACCAGCGCCGTCGGCGAGACACCCTGTATGCCCTCTCCTCCCCCTGTCCGCGCTTGCCGTTCGTCTGATCGCGATCCGCAGGCGCAACGTACATGCGGCTGCGGCAGATTTGCGACCAGTACTGTTCGTGTAGCCGACCATGCTTCCTCGAGTGCACGTACTGACTCAGGGGCTGACCGCGGCACCATCGCCGTTTGCGTGCACAGATGAAGTGCCCCAGATGAGCCGCGAGCCTCCTGCAGACCACTGCTACGACATCAAGTGTACGCCGTCTGGCCTCGCGCGCATCATGTGTCTGGCTCTGATATACTTGCTCTAGCCACATGCTGCTGCAACTCCATCTCGTTCGCGCTCAGCATGCTGTGCCTGAAGTACGCGCTCACAGCCGCCTTCCTTCTGCATTGCGTTTAACAGGCTTTATGTCCTCCTAAGCTGCCAGTGGCTGGCAAAAGACGGTGCAAGCATCGACGCCTGTCAGTCCTGCTAATTATGCGATATGAAGGCGAATGCTCACGGTTAGGTGCACGCCATTCGTAGCGTCCGGGGCATATTACCAGTACCGGTGGGGCGATGATGTTACTTATTGTGGAGACGGGACAAACCAGTCGTGAGTCTGCCGCGGCGGATCTGGTATCTGGGCCGCAAACATCGGGGCTGATGGTGTGCAAACAGGCTCCCGGTGACCGTCCAGACTTCCGTATGCGAGTCTGGCATGCGACTCGACGACGCGCTATACACCATGTTTTGGGCCGACGGGTCATGGTATGTGCGCTCTCGCTTGATCCGCCTCTGTTGTATTGCATCTGAGTCCATACATGTTCTGCGGCGTGCAGGAACTAGTGAGTCCGTGCATAATATTCCAGCGCTGCGCATATGATGGAAAGAGATCGCAGCACCTCCTTCCGAAACCAATGGTCGTTGGACGATATTACGCATGGCAATGGAACGTTTACGCACTGCGGGAACAACAGTGAGGCACCACTGAGTACACCTTCCAGCGTAGCTCCCGGGACTAGGGCTGACACGATCCGGCATGCATCAACGAGCACGGCCGCCTTGAGCACCACCACGACGCAGGCCTATGCGAGCTCCGGCGCCCCATATACTGTGCACAAAGTAAACATAGGTGCTATCGTGGGCAGCATCGTAGGTGCGGGACTGGCCCTCCTCGCGTTCTGCGCGGTCCTACGCATGAGACGACAAAAGACCAATACACGTACGCCGTACGACAGGCCGTCCATGATGAAACGAGAAACTGTGCCGCTCAGCCCATATTCTGCGCCATTGGTGCAGTTGGGAACTGGTGAGTGATGCTCGTTTGTTATTGAGATCCCTGTTCAAGCGTTATGACCCTGTCATTGCATTCCCAGCGGAAGACAGTCGTGTACCCACACAACCAGCAAGCAAAGCACGCATGGGGCTTCAAAGCAACGAGCATGTCCTATCTCATGCTGTTGCGGCCTCGGGCTCGGGCTCTCAGGCAGGTATGGACGCGACGATGATGACGCCTTTGTACACCGAGGATGAGGACAACGTGGCAGGTGATTGGCACAACGGAGAACGGGTAGAGTGTGCTTTGTTCACGCTGGGAGCGCTCGAGCCGGTTGAAGATGCTGGGCAAGTCGATACTGAGGAGTTTCCACCACCGCCCGCGTACCGTAGCTCGTGGGGGTCTTCTTGATTCAGGCGTATTTGCTCGGCCTAGAATAGTGATGTGAGGGAAGTCGTGTAGGAGATTGAATCATATGACGCCATAATGGGGCACATACGATTGGATAGCATACAGGGAGCTAGCGCTATTGAACCGTATGCTGGGACAGTGTAAGAGCGACAGACAAGGGTATAGTGTGGGTTAATGGGAAGATAGGTACTATGTGAAAAAGGCTGGCTCCCATCAGGAATATTGCTTCTCAGTGACACGTAAGTTATAGCTGTGAGACGCACTGAGGGAGAAAAGAACGCATCCAGCACGGGTCTCCTCCATAAATTTCAATGATAAAATAGAGTTACACTACATCTGACGCATGCGGAGATCCTTCGCAGTGTGAAATCAGGGACGGTACGTTTGCGGTGTTGTGTCCAGTCGAGTCGGGGAGAGCGCCGGTAAGCCTTCAATCTCGAGATCGATGCCAATGAAGACATTGATCATCTCTAGATCTGCCTCGGACTACAAAATTTGAGCGGCGCTTTTGCATGTGGCCAAACCATGCATCTCAGTACAAAAACCGACATTGGGACCCACCCCGATGGATTCCATTCTTCCCTCCTCCGCCCTCCTCGAAGGTTTTGATACTGGTTATACCTTGCTAACCGTCTCTCCACGTAAAACGATTACCAGCCTCAAAGTTCTGTAATAACCACAGCCTTAGTGTCGTGTGTACCGCCGTGGCCGTCTCAGGTTGACTGCGACGAAGTAGGTAACTACTTGGTCTTGATTGATATGTGGCTCATGACATTTCACAATGACAGGCGGTACGCCGGTAGTGCTGCGGTAGCGTGCGCTTCATAGGCCCCATGAGGGCCGCTATCATTACCTGCTATTCACATGAAATAATCTGCGAACGTTTGCTGACAAACACCTGCCGGCTCCCTCACGAGGTGAAGCATGAGCAGAGCAAGAAGATGAGCGGGACACAACTGGGGAGCGTCTAGTCGCATCAATGCCGCTCGCTGTCATCCTCCTCGGTTATTTACACGACCACTAGGCTCTAGATGCTGCCCACGCTTTGTCGGCATGGCGCTGCCGCTTGCTGTATTCTTATACGTACCCTCGATGCTGTGCTCCTCGTGCTCATAACGTTTTTCTCGTCCAGGTTCTCTTCGTTCCGACGCTAATTCTCTTGGTCTCTCAGCCCATAGTGCTAACATATTGCCTACTACATGCTATATTTATTCGCACCCGCAACCATTCTGGTAATCTCTGCCCTCGTAGGCGACGCGTCCGCCGACGGGAACACTACCTGTGCAGGAAACGCGCTTGATTGGTACACGAACGCTGTCGGAGAGACACCATGTCCGCCTCCGCTCTTCTTGCCGTATCTCTGCTCACTGTGACCATGTCCGACAGGCACGACCTATCAACGACTGCGACAAATATGCAACAGCGAATGCAAGTCTCACGCTGTGCTCTTTCCAGCGACGACGAGCTGACCGTGGGCATTCTTCCAGATGAGGTGCCGTCATTTCGCCCAGATACTCCTGGAGACAACTGCGACGACCAAGTGTGTATGTCGCCTCAGCATGCCTTGTCACGAGCTGCGTTGACCAGTATCTGCCATGTAGCTGCCTGCTGCTGCAACTCCATCTCATGGGCACTTAGTATGCTCTGCATGAAGTAAGTAATTTCATCCCGTCATCGTAGCTCTCGCTGAGTCGCGTGTCGCCATTCCTCCTCAGCTGCCAGTGGGATGTAGGCAGTAACGACACCAACGGCATCGATGCAGGTATGTGATGTCTTGTATCAACCGCCGGTCCGGTCAGGCGTGTATGTCTTATTCATCAACATACGCACGTCATAGGGAATGGTGCCTACTACATATACCGGTTTAGCGACACAGATGGCCAGTATTGCGGACCCGGAACCAACCAGTCGTGAGTTTTGTGCTCTTCAGGACGTACAGCGCGTTTCAGACGTCCAGACAGCCTCCCCACGGCAATACCGACATCCGACTCGACGATTTCCTGTACGTCCTATTTTGGAACACCGGCGCATGGTACGTCGCCTCCTCGATTCAAGTGGTCGATGTCTGATCAAAGCTTTGTTTCGCCCAGGTTCTAGTGAGTATTTATAGAATGAGCGTGACGCCGGCTCCTGACAGAGAAATTTAACAGCTCGTACACACGAGAGTGGGCGCAGCAGGACCAGGCAACAAACGCAAATAACACGTTTCAGCACTGCCCATCCACGTCCAGTAGCGCTGGTATAAGTAGCACCACGGCGCTAGCCGCCACGCCCAGCACAAGCTCATCTTCTGCCTCGTTTTCGAACTCCCAGGGCTCAGGTGCGTTTAATACAGGCTCAGCAGGTACTAGCCACGAGGTCGATGTTGGCGCTATTACGGGTGGCGCCGTGGGCGGCGTTGTAGCGCTCGTGGCGCTTGGGCTAGGCGCGTGGCTTGTACAAAGGAGGCGTAGCAGCAGAGAACGCGGGACCTTCGAAGTCGACGAGCCGTCCGATATAGTGACAGCTCAGGATGCAGCTTGGCTTGAACAACACCCCGTAACCCCCTTCGCGGTGCAGAAAACAAGTGAGACGTGTTCGGTATCATCCTCGTGCAGGAACTCTAACTACGCCTTTCAGCAGACAACGAGACGCCACGTGCACACGAGAAACACGCGTTGCTACGACATACGGACTCGGCCTCCAGCTTGGGCTCCGAGAACGGAAGCTCGAGTGCTGCGCCAATCGCGGCAACAAGCCCGAGCAAGGCATTGTATAATGCGTCTACAGTCATGTCTGATGAGCATGAGCCAGCACGGGAGGAGGACGCCGGGCGCATCGATGGTTCTGGACTACCTCTGCCACCAGCGTACCGCAGCGAGTGGCAGTCTGAATGAGGACGAAAGTGCCAAATGATCCAGAAGACATTTGCGGCACGGGTCCGTCTTCGCAATCACTGCCTGTGCTGATTCCCGCCTGTCGTTGTATCCACTAGGAACGGATTAGGAAAGGCGTCGACTCTCTTTTACTGGTATTTATAGTGTGGTTTAGCGAATAGGTGTATGGTAGATCGCAACGGTCATCCCACTGGGATTTGATTTCCATGAGCTACGATAACATCATAAGTATGCGAGATGGAGCTCGCCCTTGGTGACATTCCAAGCACACACGCGATGGGGTGACAGCAGCAGGCAGCCAAGGTGCATATTCCGCATACAGATTTACCTGGATCAAACTGTGAGTCACAGGGATCCAAACTCGAATCATTCATCCGCACCTGCATGTATACGAAGTCGGATGTCGGCTAACAGTCTCTGAGGAAAAGGGCATTCAAGTAGAGATATGGGCAGTACGTTCGGCTCTGCGATTGCTGTACGACGCGCCCGATCTGAGTGATTCAGTAGAACGACATACCAGAGCTAGCAGACATAGCGATCATAACCAAATCTATTGGAGTACTTACAGGTATCGGATCGATGCGATGGATTAGCAAAGTGATTGCAAAACTCTGCTGTGAGTTGATATTAAGCACAACGGTGTTCCATCGGTTCGTGGTCAAATTCGACGAGAAGTATCGCCTGAACCTGCACAGCTGTATATAGATCGGTCTCGCGGATAAGCTCGAACACATCCAGGCGGCGCAGACGTAGGAAAGGGACACCTTTTCAGGCTGGCGATTCATTGTACAGCGAGACACAAATCACGAGAGGAAAAACGGCGACAGATAAACATAACGCTTACAGCTTCGCGAGGCATTCCATGAGCACAACTGTCTCAGGTACTGTAGTCTGCATAGATTGAAAGGATGGTGCGTAGTCAAGCTCGGCCTATACGGCCGAAATGACACTGGAAACGTCATACGACCCATACGTCAGCATTATACAACATCAGCGCACATACTACGCACCAGTAACTGGCTCCTTTGCGCAAGCATGAATATCCAGGCTTCGTGTCCTGACTGCACCTGAACATCTGGCACATCAACGCGCTACTCGTAGTCGAAAGTTGAAGAGGGCGCATGCCACCTTGGCTAACGAGAGGCTCGATGCACCGCTCTCCGATGAATACAGCATCATCCTCTAGCCCCGCCGTTACGCCCCGCACTCCTCCCCCGCCGCCTGTCACTCGATCTCCATCAGAGCTTCTTTATGCCGCGCTCGCTTGGTGAGCCATGCGACATGGTTGCGCCAGTCACGTGGGCGTACGACCACGACGTCCTTCGGACTCAACACGACGTGATACCGCCCTCAGGGCCGAAAGCACCCATATATGCAGGGGAGGTAGCGTGGGATATGTGAACGGATGTGAGGCGGCAATATCGGCGGGCACGAAGTCCAGCTGGAAGTCGGCCGTATTCTAGACGAGGAATGCGGTGCGGTCGCAGACACAGGTGAAACAGCAACGGGAAGTGGGTGCGCGCGCGAGTGTGCAGCTTTGAGCTGGTCCACCCAAGCGATGAGGAGTGTCATGTAGTCTGGTTATATCACAACCAGCCCATCCTCATGAAGCACGAGTAAGCCAGCTATACCGCCGCAAATGGTGGCATGTGTGCCGCGCATGAGGAGAGAGTTTCATGTCGAATGCCTGCAGCTCGAGAACAGATACGGCGTGCACGATGACCTGTCCTGGGAGAGCGAGGTCCCGCTAACCTGGGCTTGCAGCGCAAAAGACGGAAGGAGCAAAGGTAGGACCCGTGAGCCACCAGTGCGCATGTAGGCTGACAGGATAGGAGCGCGCAAATGATTCGAATAAACAATGCGAAAGATTCACTCGAGAGCACGCCGAGGGAGGAAGGGAGTGTCACGGAGAATGAGCGACACACGAGAAAAGGAAGATCAGTTGCCAATTTGAGCACCCGATCGACATCTCAAGCAGCGCATACCTAATAAGGAAGCCAACCAGTGTGTTTGCTCCGCCACTGCTCAAAGCTGGTCCTAGTCCTGGAATACATCTCTTTGGCATTGACGCTTCGTCAGGAGATTTCAGAATGCAGCGCAGCTTTCTGTCCCTCGAGAATCAGGCATATGTGCGATTCTGTCTACCACGAGTACTTCACGCGGAATGCCATGTTCTTTGTCCTGATTGCGGAGTCCGAACTGTGCCTCTCGTGTGTAAAGACTCGGTCACAACAAGCACCAAGGAAGCACTTATGGTAATTGAGGGGAACTCCGCACGCCGTTAGATCTCCGCGAACCCTGTGCATCAGGCCACCTGCTTTGGCCGCCGTCTTTAGCACTCCCTCTTGCTCTCGACACCCATCCACAACCCCTGGACATTATACATCCTATAACCAACTTTCCAAGATATCAACTTACGAACGTATCAAACTACTGAATTCCCTCTTGGTGAGTGTCTATATTGTTGTATGCCTTCTCGCTTGATGAGGCCCGGCACGCCACTGGTTCATTTTGTGGCGCCGTCCTTCGACGAGACGACACCGTTGGATAAAGAGAGTATGGCTGACACAGATGCTCTATTACGCTATACAGGGAACTCCATACTTTGAATCACCATGCTCTGGCTCCAGATAGCCAGCCAAATTGGCATCGGCATCTTCACGTTTCTCGTGCAGATGCAGATGCCCAACAACCTATATCTGCCTCAAATAGTTGGACAGTTCATAGACGCGGCGGCTCCTAACTTGGTCTATATTGCTGAAGAGGTTGTTCTTTCGTTCCGGTGAGTGCGGTCAAAATATGCACACGCCACATTGGCTCACTTTGTCCTTGTAGGTCCTCTCGTTCCTCACTCCCGGCTCCTCCAACTCGGACTTCACTACCTCCGTCGCCAACCACGGATTCCTGCAAGAATCTCATTCTCTGGACACCCACGGCCCTCGCTGTCGCGTCGCAGCCCCCGGCGCTTGTTACTCCAGTGGCGGCGCCGTCGTCGGTGCCTACTACCTCAGTGTCGACCATCGAATACGCGTTTTCGGACAAAATGAACTGGCCGAAGGATGCGAGCGACTCGACCCACCACTTCTGTCCGGCTTATCTCGCATCCATCGCTCCCGCCTGTCACCTTCTGCCCCTTCACCTCGTAGCTGTCGTCATGGCATTCACGATGGTGTGGGGAGTGTGTGCACTTGTCAAGTTCTTCAGAAGTCGACGCCGTGTGAGGAAAATTGCTTCCCAGAACGGTCTGCAGAGATCTACCCAGGTGAGTGCGCGCGTATTATTGGATGTCACGCACACTAATCATAATGTGCAGAGCAACATCGTTGCCAAACTGCCGGAGATACTGCATGGCGGCGCACCAACGCAGTCCAGAATGAGCTCTCTGGACTGCGAGGGTGCATCGTCGGCTGTCTCTTGCGCCTCTGCAGACTGGGATTCATTCAGTACCACTCTCCCACCCTCACCCTCGGAGCCCACCAGTTGCGACGTTTGCAACTCGATAGAAGCTCAGGGTGTCAGTTACTGGTTAGGTGCGAGCCGCTCGTCTTCATCTGATGCGACGCTGACTGACCATTGCGTCTAGGGCATATTGTCCTAGTGTGTCTCGCGACACTGCTAATCAACGTCCTGGCCCGCCGTTTCACACCCGAAGACGCAGCCGCATATACCCTGGCAGTGCCGATGATGCTTTGGAAGGACCATCCAACTCCTCACAGCTGCAGCCGCTTTGAGAGAGAGGATATATCGGATCTGAATGTACGTCATGCTGGTTCCACGATGTGTATCATTGTTTGACGACATCTCTGCGCAGATTCCCCAGCCCTCGGCTATCCATGAGACCCTAGCACAGTCCCCGGAACCTTCTACCGACGGCGCATCGGTGCAATCAGGCCCGCCATCAAGTAGTTCATCACAAGACACCACTTCACTCAGCTCCTTTGCGGCAGCTCTTGTGTCTCAGGACGCGCCAGATGCGCTCGACAGGCCTCAACAACGCATCGGTGCCCATCTGCTCCCTGCGTCCAGCCCAGCCGGTCCTTCGTCGCCCCCCAGTGCCTCGTCCAAGTCCCCGGAACCCTCCCATCTAGTCGCACCCATGCCCGAGACAGACACATCGGCGCGCACCATGCTCGCTTGCGAGAGGTACACGAAGATGTGTGCCAAGGCAGTCGAGATGATCAAGCACAAGAGCGCACGTCTGGATCAACTGCTACCGGCCCTGGTGAACGAGCGCAATGAACTTGAGGCGTTTGTCGAGCAGGAGGTCCAGCGCGCGAAGGAGCTTCAGGCCACATGTCAGCGCCATTGTGCCCAGCTCGCGGAGGTCTATGCAGAGACGAAAGCGCAACAGGACGAGGTATCTGGACAGCTGGAAACGTTAAAGTCGACACGTATGCGGCTGGGTCTGGAACGCGAGAGGGCGAGGAAGGAGCAAGAGCAGCGTGCGAGGAAGCGGGTGCACGCGTATAAGGAACGCGCGGTCATTGGGGCTAAGCGCATGCCGGCGGAGCAGGAACGCGTCGAGGTCGGGCAGATGCGTGTACAGGCCATTCCGATGGAGCTAAAGAAACAGCCCAAGACACTGGAGAAGGAGTCTGTGCTGCGGGAGGACGAGCGTCGGTGCGATCAGGATGTGCAGGCGAGACATCTGCGGGATCAAGAGGCGCAGACGGACGAAGAGCGCATATGCGAACATGTCGCACAGACGGATCACGCAGAACGACGGGACGCACACATGGATCGAGGAGATCTGCGCGAGCTAGGAATGGCGACCGACCGTACGGAAGGTGTGCGCGAACAGGAGGTGCAGGCTGATCCTGCAGATCATCTGTGCGACAATGGAATGCAGACCGAGCAGGAGAAGCTGCCAAGCAAGGACCACGGAGATGTGCTTCATGACGTCCACGGGGAGGAACATCTGGACACCGAACAGACTGATCAGGTATCTGGCGAAAGGGGAACTCAGGCGGACGCAGACGACTGTCATTCACAGAATACGCAGGACTCACAAGGCGAGGAGCCAATTGAGCAAGCCGGGCAGGTCGAGTGTGTCGAGCACGTCCAATGCACCGATCAGGTCGAATCTATCGCGCAGGTCGAATTGGTCGAGCAGGTCATGCGATCTGTGCAAGCTAATCACAATGAGAGCTCCAGCTGTGGGCTTGACGGTCTCCCTCCCACTCTGCTCGCGTCGCTTTGGAAAGACAAGAAGCCAGTTGCGCAAGCCGGGCAGGTCGAATTTTTCGAGCAGGTCATGCGATCTTTGCACCACGAACAAGCTTATAATGAGAGCTCCAACTGCGGGCCTGACGGTATCCCTCCCAATCTGCGTGCGTCGCTTTGGCATGACAAGAAGCCAGTTGCGCAAGCCGGGCAGGTCCAAGATGCCGGGCAGGTCCAAGATGCCGAGCAGGTCCAATGCGTCGAACAAGTCCAAAGCGTCCAGCAGGTCCAATGCGTCGATCAGGTCGAATCTGTCACGCATGTCGAATTTGTCGAGCAGGTCATGCGATCTGTGCAAGCTAATTACAATGAGAGCTCCAACTGTGGGCTTGACGGTCTCCCTCCCACTCTACTAGCGTCGCTTTGGCAAGACAAGAAGCCAGTTCAGCAAGCCGGGCAAGTCCAATGTGCAGGGCAGGTCCAATGTGTCGAGCACGTCCAAGGCATCGAGCAGGCTAAACACATCGAGCAGGTTGAGCAAGCCGAGCAGGTTGAACGCGTCGAACAGAGCGAACACGTGGTGCAGGGCGCACACGTGGGGAAGGTCCAATGCGTCGAGCACCCTGTTGCCACAATCCTGCATCAACCCCTCAGTTCAACAGCAGGTGCCTTCAACCTACAACAGATCGTACCATTTATGCAGCACGAGCTACCTCAGCATAGTGGGAGCTCTAGCCGTGGGTTCACGTTTGACTGTCCCCCTCCGCGCCAGCCCCCTCCGCCTGCGTCAAGTTGGCTGGACGCGTATGTTCAGGCTTCCCGATCGCAGGCTGTGGCTCAGACCTCGGCTCCAGCGCCTGCCTCGGATTGTGCGTCTGCCTCGGATGATGAGGATGAGCCTGCCTCGGTCGACGTGCCCCCTGCGGAACCCCAGCCGTCGTCCCCGAACCCACCTACAGTCCCTGCAACAGAGCCCGTCCGTCCCAGCCCGTTTGCTGACCCCAACGCCGCACTGAAGGCGTTCTGGGCGCGCTTGCCTCCACCGCAAGCGCAGGACGTACCAAGTGTGCAGGTGAACGACGTGCAGCCGCAAGCTGCTCATGTAAATCCAGATGCGATGCAGCAGCCCTCAGGAACGTACCAGTTTGGCTTCAACAACCCGCGCTATGAGGTCGTCGTCCACCAAGGTTACGCACAGGGTCCCAGTGATGAAGATAACCGCCCTGTCGTCCCATTGCCATCCCGTGCCATACGTCGCCGCCCTCAGGTCTCACTGCCATCCCGTTCGAGACGTCTACAAGGTCAGCGAAGCACCGCGCAATCCCTCCCGCTGGGCTCCACTGCAGAACAGCAGCCGTCTAACGGCCAATCCAGGTAAGATCCATCTGCACTGCGAGTCTGTGACTTCTACTAATTGCGCCGTTGACAGCGCGTCCCCGGGTATCTAGGACGCAGAACTGAGCTCCGCTACGGCACGGCCAGCGTATGGGCCGTCGCAGTCCTGGAGCGCTCCGACCACGCTAGCCTAACATGGCCCCTTGCTCTCGGCATCTGCGTCAACTATGAGCATACCCTCGTCTCGTTCTGAAGAGCACGCGCAGCGTGACTAGTCATATTCGATGGGTCAGATGGCGTTCCTGCGACAGGGTCGATCGGGGATGGACTAGTGGCTTCCTACGACTAGATTGCCATAGCTGGTAGAACTACAGGTAGACACGCATGTCGAAGACGGGAAGGCGAAGAGATGGAGGAACTGGCACAGCGATAGAAATCAAGAGATGGAAGAGGTCGACGCGGCCATGAAGCGTCGACTGCGTAATGTGAGTATCCACCACGCATTTTCCAAACACATTCGCTTACGCGCCGTTTGTGATTGTGCACAGTGATAGATATGCCGTAGGCCTGAATCGGTCCCAGCTTGAGGTTCTCATCGCTCTCTATGCCCCTGTGATCATCATTCTGCGCCAATACAATACCCCCTTTCTCTGCAGCGTCTGTGAAATGTACCTGTGTCGATTGCGTGATAGTCTTTGAAGAGTGTGTTCGCCCATAGTTCCTTGTCTTCGTCGGACCCTGCACGGCAGCATCACGCATCGATCCAGCCCGATTTTTCGTAGCCTCATTGAGGCGCTCTCTGGACTAGTTCCTCGTATGAGGGCTTGCTAAGATACTATCAGCAACCTCACTGATTGCATGGCGATCGTACACCCTCCAGAGGGCGATCGCTCATCGACGGCAGTCAAACAAACATAACAGGTCAATCCAATCTTACACTTCTACCTCTTGTTAGCTGGGTATTCCACATGACCACAGCTCATGTTGTGGCTATAAGTTACTGGCTACACGCTCTAGGTACCTATACACAGTGAAACAGTGATACGCTACCGAGACCTGGGTGAATCGACGCCAAATGAAAAGCTCGTATTCCAGTAATGCACGAAGTTGCGTCCCATTGGTGAGATACTTACGACTTTCCCGGTAGGTTTTTAGTCTGGTCACGTGGTGTACCAAGCAGTTCGTCCTCGACGAAGTCCCCCTGCCAGGGCGGGAGCAACGCGAATTGTGGGTGGTCAGCATTCTCAGAGTGAAGTACAGAGTACCACGTGTATGAATGTTCAGTCCAGCGGGATCTACCGCCCTGTGACTCGAGGCCAATGTACAGCAGCGATGGGATCTGCGCGGCAACCTGGGTACCTAGATGATGCATGTCAGAGGGAGACGAGAGCCCTACGCTCGGTGGGAGCGTCAAGGCAATGCCAATGAGCGGTACGGAAGACAGGCCAGCCAGGTGCGCAATCTACGTGACAGATCAGTGCGGCATGCGACGCTCACAGCCTGATTGGCTCACAATGCAGGACTCTGCAGATTCCGCGTCCCCTCCCAGTAACGCCTCGAGCAAGAAGTCGGTTACGAGGAACTCGGCGAACCGCACGCTCGGCACTGTGTTTGCGATGCATGACAGGATACGTGAATTCATTGAGCATGCGAGCACCACCGGGGCTGTGTCCCGCAGCAGCGCGAGCGTCCCTGCGTACCACGCCGCCTCGTCGATTGCGTCGAGGTCATAGTGCAGCTCCAGCCGGCGCACTGGACAGGCGAGCGGGAGTGGACAGCCCGTGACGACGTGGTCGAGCGCAGGCCAGACTGCTGGTCGGAGCGTGTCCACGACGTCCAAGTCGAGCGTAGGCACATGGAGATACACCAGCGCGGGGAACGCGGCGGCAAGGGCGGCCAGGCTTCCGACGTTGCCCCAGACAGAAAGGCGGCGGACGCACGGCCAGACAGTGTGCGGCTCCAGTAGCGTGAGGATGTCTGGCCTGCGCGCGAGCGTGAGGCTGGTCAGGCTGTGGGTCAGGCTGTGGAGGAACCTGTCGCGCTCAGGGGCGAGCAGCTCGGAGGGCCTGATCTGGCGGTCGTCATTCGCGGCATCTGATATATCGAGCTCAATATGTGAAGGCCGACTGGAAAGGCGAGTGATCAGGCGCAGCGAAGCAGGCCCAACGTTGATTAGGCGAATGCGGTGCAAGTTAGGACAGGATGCCAATACATCTGCGATCACCGGCATGGCTTCGAAGAGGTACTCTGCTCTGTCGATATCGACCACGCGCAGCTGGCCGGCATGACGCAGGACTTGAGCGAGACAGAAGGCGGGTGCATAGTCATGTGTGGTCTTCCATTGTATGCTCTCGGCCGCGGGAAATGACCTGAAAGCATCGTCCCGGATCCGGAGTATCTTTAGGCATTGTGCACGCCGAGGAACGTCGCCAAGTATATACGCACAGTACTGCGCGACCTTGCTTCGCTGTGCGCGCGCGGAGTTGCTGAGCGTGACCTCGGAGAGATAGCGCGGCATGGCAGTCGCATATGCCACGCGGGACGTCATCGCGAGCTGGAGGGCATCATAAGGGCGGAGGAGAGACAAGACAACGTGCAGCACATCGAAATGGAGTGATAAGAGATCCATCGGTGGAAGGAACAGGCTAATTCGTGCAGCCGTCTGCCCGCCTTCTGCGAGATTCGCATCAGCCCCCGCATCGTTCATCATGTTTACTTGTTTATCCACTCTGAAATTAGCTCACCTCTGCAGCCTCAACGACGTCCTGCCGCCGTAAGATACTGACAGCACTTCCAGAGACCCTTGGTCGATGCGTAGGGATAGTCTTCGCTCGGGGTGAGAAAACGACCTTCAAATCCTTATGTCCGTGATATGATGTGATTGTCTTCAGGCTCTAGGCATATAAAAACTCACAGACTTGGAGTCAATCTTGCGCCTCGTTCTAAAAGAGTAGTGTACAGTACGCCTCAGGCTCGGCCAGCTGTGAACATAAGTTGGGGTTAGGGTTGAAGCACCTGCTCACGTCCGCTGCTCAGCGCTCGTGATCCACTCTCTCGCTACCTCCTGGATGTGCAGCCAACCTCGACGGCAATTCCGGTCCATGAAATAGCACAGACCATGCTAAATCTGCCTAACAAATGTAATCTTCTGCAGCGATGCCATCTCAAGCCTCGAACGATTTGAAGACGTCTTTCTGCCGCATCCGAGTCGTCTCAATTACCCACCAATGAATCACGCAAACTTACCGGACTTTCCAATACCGGGTCGTCAGGTTGTACATTGGTGTACCGTCGCGTCTCCGAGTGACCCTGGATACTTCTCCTAGCTGTCTCTTACCAAAACGGCTGCTTGCTCAATTCACGACTGCTCAGATGGCGACAGGATCACATCGAGATACGCCAGCGAACACTCTGATGCTTCGCAGATGCGCCACCAAACTCTCTATGACTGTTGGAATTACAGTATGTCCCGCTTGTGAAACTGGACCTGCGCTTTTGAGCAACATTTCTGTGATGATGCTAGATTCTACCTGCAAGGTATCTATCGGCAAGCACCTTAAACTGTTTTGTGGGGTGTTCATGATAGATAAAATGTGTATCTCTATCTCGTGATACCGTTGTGGCGCTCTTTCCGCCGCTCGTAGTCATTATGCAGGCCAAATGTGGCTGGCTGTATATCATCTTCGAGAAGCACGGGACGACCTAGACGCTCCTGCGATAGGCAAGAACCGAGATAGCAAGCTCCCTGCCGTGACTGGTGCGTAATGCGAGGGTCAACAACATGATAAGTGCCTTGCCCCGCCCTCGATACATGCCCACTCGCTCGTCCAGCCTCGAGCTCACATAGACATGGGTATGACGAAGATGAGCAAGTGAGTCACATGTGGTGTCGCATTATAGTTTCACATTCATGAACGCTATCGGCTAGGGATCACGCTATACAGGATGATGTCGATGCCTTAGAACTGGCTCGGTTGGGATACAAGCAAGAATTCAAACGCGCCTTCTCGCCCCTCGAGGTCTTCGGCCTGGTCTTCAGTATCTTCGGGCTCTTCCCCTCCATCGCGTACGTCAATCACACTGTCGCGAAACTGTATCTCACACTGTTCGCTCTAGCTCCGTTCTGACTTATGCTCTGCCGAATGGCGGCCCCGTCGCACTCGTGTGGGGTGTAAGTTGCACATACAACAATCCTTCCGAGTGCATGTGTAACCAGATCATGTGACAGTGGGGAGTCTGCTGTGTCTTCCTTGTCCTCATCTCACTCGCTCTGGCGGAACTGGGCTCCGCGGCGCCCACGTCCGGCGGGTTGTACTACTGGTCATTCAAGTTCGGCTCCCCGCGCTGGCGGCGCCTGCTCTCGTGGATTGTCGGATGTGCGTCCCTGGCTGCGTGCCTTGGCAAATGTTGACGCGCTGATTCGCTCCCCGACGCAGACTCGAACACGATTGGCCTGATCGCCGGAGTTGCTTCGGTTGATTGGGGATGCGCCGTGCAGTTGATGGTGCGCCTACGTTTCTCTCCCGGGCCGTTTGCGCTTCGAGCTATTGAGTGGTGACGCTGAGCGATTCTCTGGTCCGGCCAGGCCGCAGTGAGTATTGGTTCCAATCAGACGTTCACGGCGACTACGGGCCAGACATTGTAAGGACACATCTTTACTCTGAAGATCACTGCGCGGTCACGTATTGGACTAACATACTGAACATCGTGACAGCGGCGTCTATGTTGCGATCCTGTTATTGCATGCTACGATCTCCTCTCTGGCGACTGCGATAGTTGCCAAATTACAAACTGTCTACGTCGTCCTAAATGTGCTGTAGGTCTGACCTTGATGACAGCTTGTCTAACGCTTGACACGCAACATAGGCTATGTCTCGCCATCATCATCGCCTTACCTGCGGCGACACCAGAGGAGTTCAAGAACCCTGCTAGCTACGCGTTGGGAGGATTCACAAACTGTATGCCAGCAAGCTTCAGTTGGCATAGCTCTACTTTCTGATTCATGAAATGCAGTCAGCGGCTGGCCAGATGGATTCGCGTTCTGCTTGAGTTTCCTGGCGCCCCTGTGGACCATATGTGTGTCATTTGATGAGAATTGAGATCCCGCCCTAACACCGCATATAGCCGGTTTCGACGCCTCGCTTCACATCAGCGAAGAAGCCTCGAACGCGGCCGTCGCAGTCCCTTGGGCATTGATAGCGGCCACCACTACTGGCGGCATACTGGGTTGGGGTAAGGGAGATACGAGTCGGGGATGCGAACTCATTACTGACACGCCACTCACTCAGCTATCAATGTCGCGATTGCGTTCCGAATGGGTACGGACGTCGAAGGGATCATGAATAGTCCCATTGGTCAACCTATGGCTGCGGTGAGTGGATATTGCTGTCTCACAATCATTTGGCGTGCACACGGTTACTCCTGGCGCCAATTCACGGTCGACTCATAACACGTATTGACAAACACTTGTCCAGATCTTATTCAACAGCCTGGGACAGAAAGGTACTCTTGCAGTCTGGTCGGTGGTTGTTGCGGTCCAGTAAGCTTTGACCACCTCGTAACTCTCCTGCACAATGTCGCTCAAATTTCGCATGAATCAGATTCTTCATGGGAACGAGCTCGGTACGTATACACCACTCTGCTCATTGGCTCAGTAGTATCGGGTGTTGACTCCAGCTGTCATTCAGTTGCTGGCGAGTTCCCGCCAGACGTTCGCATTCGCACGGGATGGTGGCCTTCCTTTCTCGCGTTATTTATACCGTGTCAATCGCCACACGCAGACGCCAGTCAACTGCGCCTGGTTCTCGGCCTTCATAGCGCTCCTCCTTGGGCTCTTGGCATTCGCTGGCTCCACTGCCATCTCGGCCATTTTCAGCCTTGGGGTCGTAGGCCTCTATATCGCGTACATCATCCCAATCATCAGCAGATTCGTAGGTGGAACAGAATGGAGGCCGGGGCCGTTTAACATGGGCCGGCTCGTAAGCTTCTCCTTCCTCTGAGAACGTCTGACACTGTCTTACCGCACTTTCTCGTGGTGGCAGGGGTTGCCGGTAGCCGCCATAGCTGTGGCGTGGATGATCTTCTCTATCGTCATCCTGATTTTCCCGAGTTCCCCGGACCCGAGCGGCCCCGACATGAATTATACAATCGTGGTGCTTGGCGCCTGGATATCGCTCTGCTTGGTATACTATTATTTCCCCGTGTATGGCGGCGTGCATTGGTTCCACGGACCCATTGCAAACGTCTCATCGGCGGGAGATGGGCAAGGAGATACAAAAAGCATCAATGTCGAGGACGGAGAGCCGTATATAGAGAAGTGAAAGTACCATGAGAATTTGTTGCACTGCCTTCGGTGTACTTCGGACGTTATCTGATATCCAGTCCGCTATCATGGGTATAACCTGCGAGCCCATCTGCACCCCATGGCAACTCGCCCAGAGCCTGTACACGCGTCAAACATCCCCGTGAGTGAATTATCTCCTTACGATCTGTTGATCTGCACCCCTGGGAAGACCTCGCAGAGAACGTGGTGAGTGCTCGTGCCGTATATGTACATATATTCCACGTCTAATAGGCTTCTTTAGGAACTAAAGGCAATTTCATCACCTCAGCCGTTTCCTTCCTCGCAGTCGGAACGTAAGTTGCCACCGGAAACATCATTTCGCCTCACACGCAAGCCTAGAGAACGCACGACCTCAGCACCGCTAGGTTTCACACCATGCCCCACAGTTCGGGTTGGTGCGTTCTGATGTGCCACAAAAGCCCGGATCGGGCATGCCACTCAAAAGGAGACTATGCAGCCTGAGAACTAGATGGTGCCATGTTGATGGATGTTTTATATTTCGAACTTGGCAGCCTGCTCAATCACACGAAAGACATTCCTGCGTGTTCTCCCGGTAGCAGACACATACACGTCCAGGAGGCGCGGACTACACGACCATATATACTTTGAACACGTACGTACCTTGCCCCCATATCTTGCGCTCACGCCTTCAATTGACGTCTAATCGTTGGCAAGATGGCCCTGCTCGCTCTCAACCATGACGTGCTGTTCGAGATTCTCTCGCAAACTGATTCGAGATCTGCTCTGAACCTCTCGATGGTGTCGCGCAAAGCATACGATCTCAGCCTACCGCAAGCGCTCTCGGACGTTACCCTGTCCCGCTCGCAGAACCAGGTCAGATCGTTCTGCCAGTTCATTCTTGCGGACCTCCAGAATCGTCTCCCATACCTTCGTCAACTCACCATTGAGTGCACAAGCTTCGGCGTTGCACGCCATATCGAGTTTCACAAGACTGTCGACTTTTCTGCCGCGTCGGATATCGCAGAGCTGCTCGAGAAAGCAAAGCGCCTAAACCGTCTGTCCGTCGCATGTTTCGAAGGCCTCATTGCGTACGAACCACGCATCGGCATCGCCGTTTGCGGCATCCCGGACCTTGCAGATCTGGCCTTGCACAATTGCGGACACCTGACCGTCGCCATGCTTCCATCGCTGCGCAGCAGACCACGAAGGCTCGCGTTCACTTCCTTATTCAACCGCAGCCTACCATCATTCTTCCACCGTCTCATCGCTGTCGATAGCATTGAGACGCTTGAACTGTCACATCTTAGCCTCACAGATGGAAGTCAGCCGCACGAGGAGATTCACGAGATTCCTTACATGCCGTCGGTGCGCTCCTTAATTCTGAAGGGATGCACAGCTCGAATGTCGCTCTTCGTGAGAGCGATGCCAAACCTCCGCTCGCTGCACATCTCGGATGTGTACAGCAAAGTGGATGGCAACTCGGACCATCTCAAATCCGGATGTTGGCAGGGTCTAGCCTCCTTGAGAGGCAATGTACCGGACTTCCGTCAGTGGAAGGTGGTCTGTCCAGTGCGGCGGGTGCAATTGGATTTGACTGCGTTCCATTATCCCGATGCCCTCAGCGTCATTCGCCACACTTCACCTATCGTGCTCTCACTTCCGATGGAAACTAAGCTCATCGATACTACGTTCTGGGGTGATCTTATCACGGCAACTCCTCGCATGAGATACCTTGAGGTGTGCCTCGACGAAGGCAGACAGCAGAAACTGAATGACTGGATGGTGAGTCTCGTGATACATGTAATCGATTGTTTAACTGTTTTGAGCGACAGAATATTGTTCCTGACATCCTCGGGAACTCGTCCATCGTTGCTCTCTCCCTCTGCGTTCGCAGGACTCATGTCATGGGCTCAAGACAAGAGCCCTGCAACAAGGAAGAACTTCGCAACACGGTATTCAGGCGGTTGCCGGAATGCATCAGGGCGGCCATTCCACATCTGAGATACATCGGTGTGTCTTTGGCAAACAAGGGAGAGAATCCGTTCGACGGCAGGGGCATCGTGCCAGTTTGGTGGCGAATAGGGAGCGCACGGGAACTGGTGCCCGTACCATCCGATAGTAGCGTTGACATACGCGAGCGTCTGTTGAATGCAGACTACGAACGAGGCAACCGTGTTCAACTTTAGTTCTCTGTATAGTAAGTCCTATGGCTCTCATATCCTCGCCAGCTATCTTATCTTACGCAACCGGAACGTCTAGCGGTGCACCCAGTCCTAGCCGCTTATACGGAACGGGAGGAGATACGCATTGCCGCCCATGTACGAAAGACATAGGAGCGGCTTCCCGTAAATGAGTTTCAAAAGACCTCACTGTTGGCTATGCAGTTCCTGGGCAGCGAGCTGACCTTACGAACTGGATACGGCTTGGGATTACGGCACTGCCGCCTTACTAGAATCATTTGCGCTTCAGCTTCGGATCGCTAGCTGAGACTCCACACTCACAATTGGGTCGCGATCCAAAGACCTATGGCTTGGCGGTGCATCTACATCATCGATCTTGTATTAAAGGTGTAGATATACAAACGGGCCTCGGGAGCACGTTCTCGAGAAAGAAGTAGAAAGTGAACCCTCAACGCACATTCGTCGTAATGACATGTATCCACAATGGACGTCGGACACGTATATAACTTCTTTCACAAGATAAATATATCATGGCGCACATTTTTGCATGACAGCCATCGGTGTCCATGAAAACGTATCTTATCGGACGAGACGCCAGCGCAAGATGACTTGCATTAAAGATTGTGGTCATGAGGGTCATTATTAATAAAGTACGAAAGAGGCGGCTTACATGCTCACGAATATACACGCACAAGAAGGGCATAACGAGTGGCTCTGCAGTTCGAAAACGATGCGACGGGATCCAGACGAAGAGGTAGCGAAACTGTGAAACAGGAGGAATACGACAGAACAGGGACAAGTCTTGATCATACGATAGGATAACGCCGCTCACCAGAGCAGCTACTAGAAGTGATGTATGCTATACCGAAACCGAACCTTCGGGTTTTATCCGCCATAAGACTGCCCCGGTGACCACGCTGAGAACGAGCAGACCTACGGCTGCCGATAGATTGAAGTGTGGCTGACAAAGGTTGTGTCAACCCAGCGGAACAGAAGATAAGTAAACGGGACGACGTACCAGGTCTTTGGGCGGCGGCCGCGTCTGTGAGTCGGTTGCTGTCCCAGACGCATCGTCCGAGGACGACAGCGGATGGTTCAGAACTGAGGACTCCGGGGTGATCGGGAACGGCATACCCTTGAGACTCCTTGTCGGCTCATCCTCGCCTGCAGCTGTCGCCCTGTCACTGGCCGCATGCGATTCCGTGTCGCTGATGCTCGAGTCATCAGCGGTCCAAGGCAAGCGCCGCCGCCCGAGTGGGTGAGATTCGGTGGCGTCGCCTGAGATCGACGATGCCGACGAGCCTACCTCCACGCCAGCAGCCATGGAGGCAGACCGCGAGCGCGAGCGGCCTCTTGACGAGCTGCTGCGTTTTCGCCTCTGTCGTGGGCGCGTCGACTCTGCTGACAGGCTGCGCGGGCTAGGGGGAGTAACGAGGCCGCCGCTGTGGGTAAGCTTTCCGTTTCCGTTCAGAAAGGAATGTTGTTGCGCAGGCAGCGCAGCTAGAGTCCCGAGCATCGACTCGACCTTCGAAACGTTGCTGCCGACGCCATCCTCGACGACCCGGATGCGCGTCTCCCACTCGTCTTTCGCGCGGCGCAGGCGCTCCCGCTCCTCGGTCCACTCTTCCTGCACGTTGCTCCAGCGGCCTTCGACGTTCTTTTTCCACTCGTTCACCATTTCCGTCAGCGACTCCCGCGTCCTCTGCTCGGCCTCCTGCGCTGCTGAGTCGGGGAGTTGCTCCGAGCGCATGGCCTCAGCTAGTTGCTCGGTGGCTTCAGTCTGCACCTGAACTTGTGAGCGAGTGTCATGCACGAGACTCTCCAGCGAGGCGACCTTCGACTCTAGCAAGGAGATGGTCGATTGTGCAACCGAATGCTGCGCCTCAAGAGAGCGCGAGAGCTCGAGCGCAGACTCCAATTGCTTCGAGAGTGTCGTTAGCCGCTCGCTGATATTGTCGGGGACCGCAGCGGGTATAGGGACTGGCGGGGCCGCGGGCGGAGGAGACGGCGACCGAGTGCGTTGCTGCGGCTCGTATCTGCTGTGATCGTGGTCGTGATCATAGTCATCGTCAGACATACCCATGCCCGTTGGCTCTGGCGTGCGCGGACGACCCAGCTCATCCCTCCGCCTCCGCCGCTGCTCCTCTTCCTCCTCCGCGGCCAGCTGCTCCTCGTCCTCCTCGTCGACCCGGTCGAGCTCGTGCGGGACGATCGTCGAAACGCTGCGTGCATCGTCGTCGTCATCGGACATATAATGCTGATCATGTGCCATGTTATCGTCGCGCCCGTATTGGTGGTGGCGTCCGCTGGGACTGCCGCTGCGTCCGCGAGACGTGTCCATCTCGCGCTTGCGCTCCTCCATGAGCTCGCGCAGGGAGCCGACTTCGCGCTTGATCGCTTCGTGCTCGGCGAGCATCGTCTCGAGGGAGCGGATTTTGTCTACGTGGCTTGCGAGAGACATTTGAGTCTCGCGCAGTTGTGACTGGAGTTCCGAGAGTGCTAAACCCGATTCTGATGATGACGGCGCTGCCGGCGCCTGTTGTTGTTCAGATTCTTGCTGCTGCTGCGACTGAGGAGGCATGACTGGTGGGAGATTCGAAGGATGCGGAGGGAGGTTCGGCGGCTGCGAGCGACCTACAATGAATAAAGAGCCAAGGCAAACATGCTAAGCGACGCACCAGGTTGCCACCGAGGGTATCATGTATCTCATTCATCGCACTCGTCAGCGAATGCAGCTCGGCGCCCGTGTCGCGGCTCTTCTGCAGCTCGCCCTGCAGGCGGCTCAGGATGTGGTCAAATGTGAGCCCGCTCTTGCCGGGCGCGCGCATGTTCCCGCCGCGGTCCCCGAGCCCGATGAGGCCCTGCTGGAGCGACGGGCGGCGCTGCTGCCCGGGCGCATTGGGCGGCTGGCCCGGTGCGAAGCTGAACGCACCCGCTGCAGGGGGCGCACCGCCGCCCGCGCCGACCCCGTATGAGGCGGGGCCCGCCTGCGCCTCCGCGCGCGCAGCGGCCTGCGCTTCCTGCTCGGTGAAGACGCACACGACGCGCGCGGCGACCTTGTGGTGGATGATTGTCTTGTTGTCCTCGCCGACGATGTCGATGCCGAATTCCTGCGCTGCAGCGTGAGGCGGGCGCCGCGGGCGGGGAGAGCGCGGAGATACGCACCACGATGTCGTCCGACTTGAGCTCGAAGGGCTCGGACTCGACGCCCTCGGGGCTGAGGCGCTCGCCGTTGATGAACGTGCCGTTCGAGCTCTTCACGTCCTTGATGAAGATCTGGGCGCAGCGGGTCAGCGTCCGCGGATCCGCGTGCGCGCGGGCGGCAGGTGCGCCGCGGCGAGCGGGCGCGGGTCGGTGCGCACCTTGGCAGCCTCCTCCCACACCTCGGCGTGCTGGCGCGAGAGCACCTTGGAGTCGAAGTACCCGTTGCGCTCGGCGGGGACGGTCTTGGCGTTGGTCTGGCGGCCGATCTTGACGCGCTGGCCGTTGATGAGCGAGATGTGCTTGGGGACGAAGGAGTCGTTTAGCGGGTACAGGTACAGGGCGGGCAGCGGTACGGGGCCATGGGAGGCGGCGGCGAATGGGGTCGGCATCGTGCTCGCCGTCGACGACGATGCTGGAGACAGTCACGGTGGGAGGGAAGTGTTTGGCTCTGTTTGCACACCTCAACCGCTGACTCTGTGTACGCATCACGTGCCATGCACTGTGGCGGGCCGCCACAGCTTATTGTTCACAAGCGACTCGTCCATGGGTACATTGCAGCTCTAGCATAACGTATACAAGACAGACCATCCGAGTGTAACAAAATCACAAAAGCGCACAGTAAAGCACAATCACAAAGCTAATGACAACAACCGCACATGATGCGGATACACCGAGGGTATATTGCCCGCTGCACAAGATAAAACATCACGGTAAGAGTTGGAGGATATATAAGGCACAAGATAGCGTGTATGACTGGGTGAGAATGTTTTCACGCGAATATGATGATTTGCCATTATGAGAGCGGAAAGCGATACATACGCCTGGAGCGCCTGCCTCAGCGCCAAGCCCCACTGACAGCCGATAGCAAATACGCACCGTCTACTCCGCAACGACCTCGCCCGCTGCACGTAACCGCGTGTGCTCATGCTCGCCGCGCGCGCTCGACAGCCGCTCCAGCAGCGGCCCCTGCATGCGGCGCACGCGGAACCACACATGCGGCCGCTCGAAGCGCTCCGCGTCGCTCTCGCCGTTCCCTCCCTCCCTGGGCCCGTGGTGCGTGCAGCCGCGCGTGGCACCGCCGGAGAAGCCCGCCGCCCCGCGCGGCTGCAGCGCGACGCCGACCCACTGCAACGAAGGCACCACGAGGGCGGCCGCGAGCGCTATGCGCATCGCCAGCTCGGGCGTCGCTGGGCCGGGCGCGCTGAGCGACAGGCTCTGCAGCCGCACGGCGGCAAAGCACGCGACGTGCTGTGTCTGCGGGACGGGACGGCGTCAGCAGGGTCAACACGCGCAGAGCACGCCCACGTACCACCCAGGCACCCAAGTCGCCGTCGAGTGCGTCGGCGACGAGCACGAGCTCCAAGTGGGCCAGCCGCGGCGCGGCGTCCGCGATCGTGCGCAGAACGTCCGTGGCGACGCCCGGCGCGAGCGCGCACGCGAGCACGGTGGGCGCGGACGGGCGGATGAGCTCGAGCGTGCGCGCGAGGACGGCCTGGGCCGTGTAGCGCCGCAGGGGCGCGCCGAGCACGTAGCGCAGCTCGAGGCGGCGCACGGCGCACCCCAGCGGCGGCACGGGCATGCTCGTGAACACGCTGTCGAGCGCGTCCCACGCGCCCGCCGCGGGGAGGTCGCCCACGGAGCACTCGGGCGCGAACGTGAGCGTGCGCACGGTGGGGAACGCGTGCGCGACGCCGCCGAGGCTGGGGATGCGCCCGCCGAGGCCGAGCGCGCGCACGCCGGCGCAGACGCAGCCGGGGGGCAGCGACTCGAGGAGGCAGGCGACCTGCCAGAGCTGGAGGGTGCGCAGGTGCGGCGCGTACGCGGTGAAGGCGGCGGTGTCGCCGGCGACGCGGGCGGAGCCGTCGCGCCAGACGCCGAAGACGAGGCGGGTGGGGCGCCAGGCGGTGCGCGCGAGGAGCTCGAGGGTGGCCTTGCCGACGATGTGGAAGTGCGCGTCGCGGAGGCGGGTGAGGCCGGCGATGGCGTCTGCGACGGCGGGCTGGGAGGCGAGGAGGGGCTCGAGGTCGCGGATGTAGAGGCGGCGGAGGTTGTGTGCTGCGCGGAGGACGTCGGAGAGCAGCGGGGCGCAGGAAAAGTCCTCGAGCCAGGTGTCGCGGCCGTCGGCACGGCGGGCGGAGGCAAGGAAAGCGCCGTCTTTGATGGCGAGGGCGCGGAGGTGGACGATGCGGTTGGGTGGGTCGGCGAGCATATATTGGCAGAAGAGGGTGATCTGGTCTGGGCCGGAGATGACGGCAGGATCGGCATCGCCGAGAATGACGTCGGAGAGAAATCGAGGCATGGCCAGGGAGTAGGCGTCATGGCACGTCAGCGCGAGGCGCATCGCATCGGGCGGGGAAACAAATGTGAGGATGAGCGCGAGCACGTCGTTGTTCAGATTGAGGAAACTCATGGCGGGCAGGCGCAGCACCGGGGGCTGCTTGAGACGCAGCACGTCTGCGCAGCGTCAGCAGCGGGAGCAACCAGTGAACTCGAACGCACATACCAGTGTGGGGGTGTCTGTGGATGATCTGCAGCATCGGGGGCGGGATGAGAGAGGGCAAGGGGCAGAGCCAGAGAAGGCGATGACGAGTCCGGCAGGTGCCAAAGGGACAGGCACACACATCTCCCCCAGCGCCCACCCATCGGCTGCAGTCGCCATCGCCGCCACCGTCGTCGGTCGCGCACCCAGCGGGCGGGGGACGCGATGGGTGAGATGCAGCGGGAGGCAGGCGATCCGGAATATAAGAAAGCGGTCTTTCACTTTGGCCTCCGACTTCCGCTTCATCAGGCGTCCATCTCCGCCCATCGGCATCCTCGCCCGTTGCCAATCCCTCCGCCGCCCATGCCCACTTGCCTAGCGCCCCTCCCGTCGCCCCCCACACCCGCCGCTGGCTGCCCCGCGCCGCCGTCTCGTTGCTGGTCGCCACCATCGCGATCTTGCTGCCGGCCGTCGTGTTGAGCGCGCAGTGGCGGAGCCGTCCAGGGCGACGAATGCAGGAGCAGGGCCATGGACCGTGCGCCTCTCTCTCATCTGCCTTCTCGAAGCCCTCCCAAGCATGTGCGACCCAGTGGACCTCTTGCGCATAAACAGCCGCCCAGCCTTCAGCCATGGCTTCTGCCGCCATCACTGGCGTCCTCGGCACTCGTCATTCTCTCACCACTTCGTCTCGTCTCCGCTGTCCCGCCTTGGCCCCGTCGCGGTGTAGTCTCAGACCGAGTCGTGCCTGCTAGCCACTGAAGTCATGCTATGCGAGCAAGTCGCCGCTTGTCAGTCGTCGACTGTACACCAAGATGAGCCCGTCTTGTCGTTATGTGAGAGAGTGCAACAAACATGATTGGTACGCACCATGCATAGCAGGTCGACGAGGCCATGCCAACATACAGGACTATGGTCGGCTGCATCTCGCAGACATGCGCATATAGCCATGTCATTGTGGACGCGTAAAGGTTGAGAAGATGCGCTCCACCGGATAGAAGCCAGCGCAGCACAGACTTAATGCGAGTGAATTCAAGTATGACTTGACAATGTCGACTTGAGTATGCCCCGAGAAAGACATCGACTATGCACGTCGAGAGTCGGAGAAAATTGTTCGGTGAGAGATGGACGACGGGTGATGAAAATCAAGATTACGCGCGCGGCACTGGGTGGACCTATCAACGCCGGGGGCTGCAGCGAGGAAGAGCCAGAACCGTTGACGCCACATCACCCGCAACGGCTACAAGCGACCTAAAATGGGAACCCACCTTCTAAAACGGCGCGCTGTGGTTAAAAACGAAAATGGCGCGCAAGCCTGACTCTGACATTCCGGCAAAGTGACAGCACGCTGTACGGTCATCCTGGCTTGTTGACCAGGTCGCGCTAACCCGGGTGGGCGCGTTGTCGGCTCCGGTGTGCGCATGCGCCTTGCGATCATCGATCATTGCCGCGCCGCCGACCGAAGCACTTGCTTCCGCTAATAATATAAAATACATAACCCCGCTTTCCACCCCGACAAGTCTCTAATCCAAGTCCACTCACAGACACCTATCAGTCCGCCGCACAGTCACTCATCGCCCCATTCGCTGCGGTACGCCGGCGGTAACCGGATCCCGCCCGCGATGCGCCCCGCGTCCTCCTCCTGCAGCAGCATGTCCCGCGAGTCCAGCAGCCCCACCTCGCTCCCCGCGCTTTCCGTCGGCGGGCCCGTCATCGTCCGCGCCGTCCCCGGCTCAGAGCCCGACCCGAACGCAGAACTGTCCCTCGTGCCCCCAGACCCTGACCCAGAGCCGGCGTGGTTCCGCTGCATCCGCGCGAGCTTCTCCGTCGCGCGCGGCCTGTACGCGAACACGTCGTCCGCTGCGCAGCGTCGTGGGCGGTACGTCAGCCGCCTGCCGCGCATATAGGCCGAAGAACAGGCTTACTGGATGGCCGCGGCATGAACGGCGACACGGAGTACCTGTCCCCCGCCGCCACCGCCGCCATAGCCGGCTCGATACCACCTGCCCCTGCCCCCGCACTCACAGCTCGGCGCCGCCGCCGCACGCACACCGCCGCCACCACCAAGAGCGCGACGAGCCCCACCGCGCCGCCGACCGCGCCGCCGACCACTGCGCCCATGCTCATCTTGCGCCCGCCGTTCGTCGCACCCAGGCCGATCGCCGTCACGCTCGCGCCCGCGGACGCGGACGAGGATGACACGTGCGGGGCGGCGATAGTGGTGACGAGCGCGACGGACGTGACGATGCCGCTCACCGTCGTGCGCGTCTCCACCGTCGTCGCGACCGAGGACGGCGGCGGCGTGCTGGTCGATCGTCCCGCGCTGGAGCCGGTGCCGGGGGCAGGGCTTGATGGATTGCTGGACGTGGGCTCGGCGGGACTGGAAGAGCCCGGCGGCGTCGTCCCAGGCGAGCTGGACGGTGCGGGACTGGCTGGGTCAGTGCTTGTCGGCGCGGCCGGCGCGGTGCTGGTACTGGTGCTGGTGCTGGTGCTGCTGGGCTTGGACGACGTCGCGGCGTTCGCGCAGTGCGTGAACGTGTCGTTGTTGTCCGTCGCCTGGTCCTGCTGCGCGGCCTCGCGCGTGTATGTGCTGCCATCATCGCGTATTCAGCCAGGCGCTCAGCGCAGCGCGTCGTGACACATGCACTCACTAGAACCTGCGCGGCGGGCGCAGCGCTCACGCGTCAGACACGGAAGTGGAAGGGACGACAGGAGGCGGGCGCGACGCACCATGCACCCGTATTCCAGAACAGGTTGTACATAAAGTCGTCGAGCTTGATGCCCTGGTTGCACACCGCCGTCTGTATGGTTGTCGGCAGCCTGGGGATCCCGTCAAAGACGACCAAGGCCAAGAGGGCGCGCGGCGCACTCACGACTGGTTCGTCCCGTCCCCGCAGTACTGCCCGTTGTAGTCGCTGAAGCGGTACATGTAGTACGCCCCGTTCCCTGGAGCGCATGTGCGCCATCAGTCCGGTGCGTGCGCGCGCTAGAACAAGCATGCGCGCGTACCGGCGTCGATCCCGTTTACGCTGCCGCCGTTCACGTCCCACTGGCAGCTGGGGCGCGGCAGGCGAGCGTGAGTGTAGGGCAGGAAGACACACGGTGGCGGCGTACTTCATGCAGAGCATGCTAAGCGCAAACGAGATGGAGTTGCAGCAGCACGAGCCTGGGCGCGCGTTAGTTTACACAGTCGGATCGGGAAGGCAGGGTGATGCACTCAATTGGTCGTCGCAGTTGTCTCCGGGCGTGTTGGGCCGGAAGGACGGGACCTCGTCTGGGAGCATCCATAGTCGGCTCGCGGATGCAGACCCCAGGAGGGGGGGACTCACATTCGCTGTTGCAGATCTGGCGCAGCCGCTGGTACGTCGTGCCTGCAAAAGGGCAGCCAGTGAGCAGGGGCGTGGTGCGCTGCGCCCGAGGACACGTACATGGGGTCTCCCCGACGGCACTGGTGTACCAGTCGAGCGCGTTCCCGGCGCATGTCGTGTTTCCGGAGAGCGCAGGTCTGACGAGGGCAGCGAGGGCGAGGGCGGCCGCGAGCGTGGATGAACGCGGCATTCAGATGATTAGAATTTTCAGTACCGGTAGAGAATGGGGGGAACGAGGGAGGGAGCACACGAAGGGCTGTCGTGAGTGCGGGGAGTGCAAGGCGAAAAGTGTGCCGGGCTGTGCGAGACGAGTTATTGCAAGAGCCCAGTCCGCCGGGTCGTAACGGCTGTGTACGACAGTTCGACGTGCGCATCACCTTCGGAGAGCAGGAATAGTAGTGCGACGGCGTGGTCGCGAGGCACGAATGATGGAGGCTGCATTGATGGGCAGGTACTTGTACAGATACATGCTGATGCACAGGCGTGATCCTGCTGCCCCGACGGATTTGCCGCCCTGTGCTATGTACCGTGCTAGCGCTATTGCCTGCATGCAGCTCGCAGACCTTGGCCTCGTCGTGAGCGATGGGCACTGACCGCTGGCTTTCTATTCATCGTTCAACCTGACGCTGACGCTTCCATGTCATGGAGCTTCATCTCCGTGCCAGAGAAGCGAGCCAGTCAGTTTGACATTCCCAATTCACTTTCGCATCTGGCAGCGAGCGCGGCAGATGCCCCGACAAGGACGGCTGCTTAGCCGGCCGCCGCTGGACACAGTCTGGCGAGGTTGTTGGACTTGGCTGACGGAGAAGCGAGCTGGGGAAAGATAGAAGGGTGAATACAGCTGCCCCAGCGCGAGAACGTGCGAGGCGTGAGAATGTTCGCCACCTACAACAGATACTCGACTCACCTGGTACATGCGACACTCGCGTCGCTCGTCCTCACTGGCAACAGAGAGAACGTAGTAGCAAGAGCCCGAAGTCCAGAGGGTTACCGACGTAGCCTATTAGTGCAATCTCGAGGTTATCTATATGATGACAACGATGACAACACATATGCAGGGACGCGATATGACCCAGACTCACACGAACGACAGACGTCTCATCATATACGACGGTCCTACAAGGAGAAAGCAACTGCTTAGAATAGGATCGGAGCTCTACAGCGGTGTCACCAATCACTTGCTGGCTACGGCCGTACCGAGATACTTATACGCGTAAGCTCCGCAGTCATTCACTCTTGGACTTGTCCTTACGATTGCTAGTATAGCACCCCTTCTCGACAATTCAACCGTGGATTTCGCCAACCCACAGCTGACAACTGGTCTTCGACTTTGATCGTCATCGAAGCGAAAAGAGACGGTTCACATCTTGCGATCCCACACGCGACGATAATCGCAGCGTCGTATGAAAAGAAGCATTGCTTCGTCTGTCCCACACTATCTGGAGCCCTGCCCGGGCCTGACTTGTATCTCAATCAATCTGTCACCCTTCGTGGCTGCATCACGAGCGGCGAAGACGGCCCTTCGTCGAAGCCGGAGTCGTGCTGCACGTCTCGGAGAGAGCGTCTCTTCGCTCGCAATCCGGACGCGGATGGCCTTGGTTGCGCGAGTGAGGGAAGACATCCGTATTCGCAGGCTTAGGCTATGGATGGTCTGCAACTCCTCTCAAGTTGACGCTGTGGTGTATAGCAGGAGTAAGGCAGCCCGCGCGTCCACTCGACCTCCTGTGACCTTGTTCAGTGAGGCTAATGCCTCTCTCACGACGGATGGCATGTTCTCCTGTAATCCGAGAGGTCGATACCAGCAGGAACACGTTACTATGGACGATTTTGCGCCCAAGTGGAGGTCCGAAATTCTCCTCTACGTCCCGCATCGACTCCAAACATGAACGCACGCTGCGCTGAAATTCAATCCGAGACACAGCACTCTCCAGCGTCGCCAAGCTTAAGCTATGATCTATGATAATAAACAGGCAGGGGACAACGTAGCACACGTCCAGTGCCGTTCGCGCTCACTTGGCCCGCAGTGGCTGATGCAGCCCCAGCGAACTCGCGCGATCTTCAGCTAGCATCGCGCCCTGTGCCCGCAATGAGACGACAGCTTAGGCGTACTCTCTGTGTCTTTACGACTGTACGCGCACTCTTGAAAGCGATGAGATGTCGTTCATATGCAGTTTGTATTGGTGTTTTCGGAAATGCGACAGCCTATAGCGACGTGGAGGCGTTTCGGCGGACGCCGACAACAACCATTCTGAGATGGCGACTCACGGCCTGGACGTCTCACTTGGCAGAGACCCACAATGTATGCAATACGATAGCATCCTTCATCTTTGTGCTTTCTCCGGATCTTTGTTTACTGTCAAGACAAGACGGATTAGCGGCAACCTTCGAGTATTTGTGCCAGAGATATCACTGTGCCTCATCTCGGCTTTCCGCTCCTCTACTGCTTTACCTTGTACTACAATATCTGCGGTCGGTGATCGTTAGTCGCAGGAGGCCATCGAGGAACGCGTAAGCTAGTTCAATCATCCACAGATAACGCCATGTTGATAAACTACATTGCAAGACGGCGAAAGCCGATGCCACGAACACGCCATTGACACGCCCAGCAATTATACATAAACGGAGGCAAGGCTTGAATAATCCTTTTGAAGAGAAGAGAACTTCGCAGAGGCGGCGAAGACGCCAGAGGACGGGATGCAGTCTGATCTTCCTCGGATACTGCATGTGAGCCTTCACCCGCACTAGTTTCCATGTTTGCCATCCTATACAGGGTCTACGCACGCGCGTTCCTGTATGCCACATGGTGCATTGTGCGGCAGTACCTCCTGCGTGAGTACATCTTGAAACAGAGAGGACACGGCCACTCCTTCTGCTCGCCGTTGGCGCAACCGGTTCTCATGTCACGCCGACGTTCGCTGCTGCGACTGAACCATGCTTCGCAACGTCCGCATTCGTAGTGGCAGGCCGCGGGCGTCCTCTGCTTGGGTCTTCTATTGACGTACAGGCGGATGTCGCTCGAGGGAACGCGGAAGCGGGGCTTCTTGGGACGAGGAGTATGCAGGGCCAGCATCCTGCCCGCGACCGCGTGCTCCGCCTGTGGCGGCGAGTGTTCCGTTATTTGGCCGTGTTCATATGCGGGCGTGTGTGCTTGTCTCGTGAGGGTTTGAGGGGAGGAGTACGGTGTCCATAGGGTTGAACCCTATGGTGGCGTCCTTCGGTGAGCTCCTCAGAGCTGGGAAACTGAAAGGATGTGAGATAGTGTGTGTAGACGGAGGACAACACGACGCCATACCTCCGGCGATCCATGAAGTGACGCATCCCAGCTGAAATCCGTGAAGAGACCCTTGAGGTCTCCGTCGCCTTCGGGTACATCTATGATCTGACCCGTCGTGAGGCTCTTGACTGGGCGCCGGACTTGCTGTGAGGAATGGCGCTTCCTCGTTGCTTATGTTCGCGGTCCATTGGAGCCAAGCGCGCAACCCTGCGAATGCGTCGGAGGGCATTGTAGAGTGGGCGTGCTGAGGAATATGACTCTACTGGTCATGCGTAGAGCCCATGATGCAGGAAATATGCTCATGTTCGAGGGTGAGTCGTCTCTGAGGTCGGAATGAGGTGCTGTTCTGGCCTGAGATGGTCTGAAAAGCGAGGGATGCTACTTATATGTCGGTTCTGCAATACCCCTCTGCACAATACAAGCTGCATCATGCACTGTGCTTCTTCACAAGGCACCGGGCAAGATGTGCCCTCGTATCTTTAGGACAATGCAGGTCCTCGTCCACGCATGACAGAATGGATCAGGAGAACAACAAAGTGAGAATGACAAGCGAGCGGGAGCGGTAACCTTTATATCAGAATGCAGTTTGGTGCTACACACCTTTATTGTGGGTGCGACGAGCAGACAACGCTAGGTCATTCCTCTATTGCTGCAACGTGCCGTCCATTCTCGTAATCCGGGAATGTGAAAATTTGACGTGTCCCTTGCCTGCATGAAACCAATTCCATGTTTCCAGCGCTCATCCGTCGATTGAAGAGCACGATCGTGTGTTCCCTGATCATTAACGTCTTTGCGAACGGCAGTCTCTTGCATAAAAGACCCGATGCCGATTGTAGAGCCACTGTTTGCACTGCGTACACACTGTAGATAATGCGCGTAGCAGATCATTGCTAAAGGACTATATGGACTCGGCCAGAAGAGCATCGATTGAACAACTAGCAATTCTCGAACATTTGGTTTCAGCCATCGCTTAAGTCACGGCAGCTGTAAAGTGTCATTAGACGAATGGGTATTCTGGCCAGATCAGTATCACTGAAGGCGTGTTGTCTGCTCCATTATAAATTTCGTGATCTAATAACAGTGTACCCCCCGCTACATCTACAGCATCCATTCCTCAAAAACATTTCAATCATTGTTCGTCTTGTGCTGCAAATCATATCGACAGGAGCAGGACACAACAGCGCCAAGAATTGCAAGTCTCTTATAGGATGCTCTGCATAATCTTATCGATTCATACATGCTGACACGCTGTCCCCGAGGGTGAATACTTCCAAGACCTGCGTTTACTCGTCCTTGCTGTGTATACGTAGCGCATTGTTTCCATTATGCACGTTGCGACTATGCAACATCGCAAGCCTTTCTTTGTCCCCATTATGATGAAGGCTATCACGGGATCCGGATGCGTATCCTGCGTGACAATGGACGGTGAGGAGTCAAACGACATGTCCTGGTACATCTTTCTCGAATACCACCAGCCGTCCCGTTTCCACGTTCTTCTGAATCCTAATTGTCCCCATGCTCTGTCTGCCGTGCTAGGGTGCTAGGCTCGCGCTCTCAAAGACAAACAACTTCGGCGCGAGTTAGGACAGCCTACGCGAGCCGTCATGCAGTCTGACACCTCCCTCTGGTTTAGTAAGCCCCCTACCCTAAATCTCTCTGGCCACTCGTACTCGCAGATGCCACGCGCAGCGCTCTGGCCGCACGTCAGCAAAGGCATCGCCAGTCACGGCGCAGCGAGTGCGGGCTGTAATGCACGAGAGAAGTGTATGCGCGCTACGCTATGAAGAATCAGCCTGGATAGATGATGCTTGAAGCTGCCGTGGAGGGGGGTCCGACGAAGACAAGGAATTTTAGGCGAAGACACTTTTAAAGGGACTTTCACGCAACCGGCATAGTACCTTCAACAGTCGCTGCAGAGAAATGGCGTATAATATTGGCACAGAATGATGGTCACAGGGGTATAGAGAGGGGTGAGAACCTCAAGCTGGGACCGATTCAGGCCTACGACAAATCTATACTGTTCACGATCACAAACGGCGCGTAAGCGAATGTGTTGCGGAAACGCCTGGTAGATACTCACATTACGCAGTCGACGCTTCATGGCCGCGTCGACCTCTTCTATGTTCTGGCCTTTATCATTGTGCCGGTTTTTCCATCTGTTCGCCTTCCCGTCTTCGATATTCGTGTCTACCGTGTAGCTCTACCAGACATGGCAATCTAGTCGTAGGGAGCCACCAGTCCATCCTCGCTCGGCCCTGTCGCAGGAGCGCCATCTGACCCATCGAATCCTGGCCAGTCACGCTGTGCGTGCTCTTCAGAACGAGACGAAGGTATGCTCATGGTTGACGCGGATGCCGAGAGCATGGGGCCATGTTGGGCTAGCGTAGTCGGAGCGCTCCAGGATTGCAACGGCCCATACGTTGGCCACAGCGCAATGGGGTTCGTCTCTGCATCCTAAATACCCGGGGACGCGCTGTCAACGGCGTAATCAGTAGACATCACAGACTCGCGATGCAGACGAATCTAACCTGGATTGGCCGTTAGACGGCGGCTGTTCTGCAGTGGAGCCCAGCGGGAGAGATTGCGCGGTGCTTTGCCGACCTTGTAGACGTCTCGAACGGGATGGTAGTGAGAGCGTGGGGCGGAGACGCCTGGCACGGGATGGTAGCGGAGCGGCAGGGCGGTCAGATTCATCACTGGAGGCCTGTGTGTTACTTTGGTGGACGACGACCTCATAGCGCGGGTTGTTGAAGCCGAACTGGTACGTTCCTGAGGGCTGCTGCATCGCATTCATGTCTACATGACCAGCTTGCGGCTGCACGTCGTCCACCTGCATACTTGGTACGTCCTGCGCTTGCGGTGGAGGCAAGCGCGCCCAGAACGCCTTCAGTGCGGCGTTGGGGTCAGCAGATGGGCTGGGACGGACGGGCTCTGTTGCAGGGACTGTAGGTGGGTTCGGGGACGACGGCTGGTCTTCCGCAGGGGGCGCATTGACCGAGGCAGGGGCATGATCCGAGGCAGGCACATCATCCAAAACAGGCTCATCATCCAAAACAGGCTCATCATCCGAGGCAGACGCACAATCAGAGGCAGGCGCTGGAGCAGAGGGCTGAGCCACAGCCTGCGATCGGGAAGCCTGAACACACGCTTCCAGCCAATGTGACACAGGCGGAGTGGGCTGGCGCGGAGGGGGACAGTCGAAGGTGAACCCAAAGTTGAAGCTCCCATTATGTTGAGCTTGTTCGTGCTGTACAGATGGTACGATCTGTTGCAGGACGAGGGGAACTCCTGTTGAACTGAAGGGTTGATGGGGGATTGTGGCCATAGGGTGCTCGACGCATTCGACCTGCTCAACGTATTCGCCCTGCTCGACGTGTTCGCCCTGCTCAACGCGTTTAACCTGCTCGGTTTGTTCAACCTGCTCGACGCATTGGACCTGCTCGATGCATTGGACCTGCTCGATGCATTGGACCTGCTCGATGCATTGGACCTGCCCGGCATCTTGGACCTGCCCGGCTTGCGCAACTGGCTTCTTGTCGTGCCAAAGCGACGCAAGCAGATTGGGAGGGATACCGTCAAGCCCACAGCTGGAGCTCTCATTGTGATTAGCTTGCACAGATCGCATGACCTGCTCGACAAATTCGACCTGCGCAACAGATTCGACCTGCTCGACGCATTGGACCTGTTTGACGTATTGGACCTGCTTGACGCATTGGACCTGCTCGATGCATTGGACCTGCCCGGCATCTTGGACCTGCCCGGCTTGCGCAACTGGCTTCTTGTCGTGCCAAAGCGACGCAAGCAGATTGGGAGGGATACCGTCAGGCCCGCAGTTGGAGCTCTCATTATAAGCTTGTTCGTGGTGCAAAGATCGCATGACCTGCTCGAAAAATTCGACCTGCCCGGCTTGCGCAACTGGCTTCTTGTCTTTCCAAAGCGACGCGAGCAGAGTGGGAGGGAGACCGTCAAGCCCACAGCTGGAGCTCTCATTGTGATTAGCTTGCACAGATCGCATGACCTGCTCGACCAATTCGACCTGCGCGATAGATTCGACCTGATCGGTGCATTGGACGTGCTCGACACACTCGACCTGCCCGGCTTGCTCAATTGGCTCCTCGCCTTGTGAGTCCTGCGTATTCTGTGAATGACAGTCGTCTGCGTCCGCCTGAGTTCCCCTTTTACCAGACTCCTGATCAGTCCGCTCGATGTCCGGATGTTCCTCTCCGCGGACGTCATGGAGTATACGTCCGTGTTCCTCGCTTAGCAGCTTCTCCTGCTTGGTCTGCATTCCATTGTCGCACAGATGATCTGCAGGATCAGCCTGCACCTCCTGTTCGCGCACACCTTCCGTACCGTCGGTCTCCATTCCTTGCTCGCGTAGATCTCCGCGATTCATCTGTGCGTCTCGTCGTTCCGCGTGATCCGTCTGTGCGACATGTTTGCATACGCGCTCTTCGTCCGTCTGCGCCTCTTGATCCCGCAGATGCTTCGCTTGCACCTCCTGCCCCCACTGACCCTCGGCCTTCCGCAGTGCAGACTCCTTCTCCAGCGTCTTGCGCTGTTTCTCCAGCTCCATCGGGGCTGTGACGGCCTGTACACGCCTCTGCCCGACCTCGACGCGTTTCTCTCCCGCCGTCATGCGCTTAGCTTCGATGAGCGCACGCTCCTTCTCTGCCTGCGCCCGCTTCTTCGCGCGCTGCTCTTGCTCCTTCTTCGCCCTGTCGCGTTCCAGATCCAGCCGCACGCGCGTCGACCTCAATGTTTCCAGCTGCCCAGACAGCGCATCCTGTCGTGCCTTGGTCTCCGCATAAGCTTCCGCGAGTTGCGCGCAATGGCGCTGGCATGTGGCCTGAAGCTCCTTCGCGCGCTTGACCTCCTGCTCGACAAACGCCTCAAGTGCCTTGCGCTCGTGCACCAGGGCCTCTCGTAGTTGATCCGGACGCGTGTTCTGATGCTCCCCCATCATGTCGACTGTCTTGGCACACATCTTCGTGTACCTTTCGCACGCGATCATGGTACGCGTTGATGTGTCTGTCTCGGGCATAGGTACGATCAGAGGCGAGGGCTTCGAAGACTTGGGCGACGCGCTGCAGGGCGACGAGGGGCCGGCTGAGCTGGGCACAGAGAGGAGATCAGCATCGATGTGGTGTCGAGAGCTGTCGAGCACATCAGGTGTGTCCTGAGACACAAGGACTGCCGCGGAGGAGCCAAGCGGGGTAGTTTCATGCGATGTACTACACGATGATGGGCCTGATTGCAGTGACGCGCCATCGGTAGAAGATTCCGGGGACCGTGCTGGGGTCTCATCGATAATTGACTGCTGGGAACTCTGCGCAGACATTTCGTCAAACAGAGGTACACATTGTGGCACCGGCATGACGTACATTGAGATCCGCTATATCCTCTCCCTCAAAGCGACTGCAGACGTGAGAAACTGGATTGTCCTTCCAAAGCATCACCGGCACCGCCAGGGTATATGCAGCTGCGTCGTCAGGTGCGAAACGGCGGGCCAGGATGTTGATGAACAGTGTCGCGAGACACACCAGGACCGTATGCCCTAGACGCAATGGTCAGTCGGTATCGCAGCAGATGAGAACGAGCCGCTCGTACCCAGCCAGTAACCGAATCCCTGAGCTTCAATTGTGTCGCAAATGTGGCAACTGGTATGCTTTGAGGGTGAGGATGAGAAGGTGGTGGTGAATAACTCCCAGTCTGCAGAGGCGCAAGAGACAGCCAACGATGCACCCTCGCAGTCCAGAGAGCTCATCCTGGACTGCGTAGGTGCGCCGCTATGCAATATCTCCGGCAGTTTAGCAGCGATGTTGCTCTGCAGATTATGATTAGCGTGCGTGACATCCAATTCTACGCACGCACTCACCTGGGTATGACTCTGCAGACCGTTCTGGGAAGAGACCACTCTCTCGCGGCGTCGATTTCTAGAGAATTTGACCAGTGCACACACTCCCCACACCATCGTGAACGCGATGACGACAGCTACGAGGTGACGGGGCCGAAGGTGACAGCCGGGGGCGATAGATGCGAGATACGCCGGGCAGAAGTGATGGGCCGAGTCGCTCGCATCCTCCGACCAGTCCATCGTGTCCGAAAACGCGTATTCGATTGTCGACGTTGAGGTAGTAGGCACCGACGACGGCGCCGCCGATGGACTCACAAGCGCCGGGGGTTGCGACGCGACAGCGAGGGCCGTAGGGGTCCAGAGAATGAGATTCTTGCAGGAATCCGTGGTTGGCGATGGTGGTATTGAGGTCCGAGTCGGAGGGACCGGGAGTGAGGGACGAGAGGACCTGCGAGGACAAAGTGAGCCAATGTGGCGCGAGCACGTTTTGACCGCACGCACCGGAATGAAAGCGCAACCTCCTCAGCAATGAAAACAAGGTTAGGAACCGCCGCATCGATGAATTGTCCAACTATTTGAGGCAGATATACATTGTTGGGCATCTGCATCTGCACGAGAAACGTGAAGACGACGACGCCGATTTGGCTGGCTATCTGTAGCCAGAGCATGGCGATTCAAAGTATCGAGCACTCTGTATAGCGCAATATAGTATCTGTGTCAGCATTACTCTCTCTGTCCAACGATATCGTCTCCTCGAAGGACCGCGCCACAAATGAACCAGTGGCGTGCCGGGCCTCATCGAGCAAGACGGCATGGAACACGTAAGACACTCACCAAGAGAGGATGCAGTAAGCTGATACCTTTGTGAGTTTATTTCTTGGAAAGTTGGTTATAGGATGTACAATGTCCAGGGGTTGTGGATGGGTGTCGAGAGCAAGAGGGAGTGCTAAAGACGGCGGCCAAAGCAGGTGGCCTGATGCACAGGGTTCGCGGAGATCTAATCACTCGTCCCACGGCGTGCGGAGTTCCACTCCATTACCATAAGCACTTCCTTGGTCCTTGTTGTGACCGAGCCTCTACACACGAGAGGCACGGTTCGAACTCCGCGATCAGGCTACAGAACATCGCATTCCGCGTGAAGTACTCGTGGTAGACAGCCTGCACAGCTGTGAATCGCGCATATGCCTGACTATCAAGGGACAGAGAGCTGCGCTGCATTCTGCAATCTCTTGACGAAGCTTCAATGCCAAATAGATGTGTTCCAAGACTAGGACCCGCTGCGAGCGGTGGCGGTGGTAGCAAAGACACTGGTTGGCTTCCTTATTAGGAAGACGCTTAGATGTCGATCGGGTGCTCAAATTGGCAGCCGATCTTCCTTTTCTCGTATGTCGCCCTCTGTGCATGACACTCCTTGCCTTCGTCGTGCGTTGGAGTGAATATGTTTCACTGTCTGTCCAACATATCTGCGCGCTCATATCCTGCCAGCCTACATGCAACTTACTGGTGGCTCACGGGTTCTACCGTCGCTCCTCCCGTCTTTTGCGCTGCGTGCTCAGGTTAGCCTGACCTCGCTCTCCCAGGACAGATCATCGTGTGAGCCGTATCTGTTCCCGAGCTGCAAGTATTCGACATGCAACATCTCCTTTGGGCGCGGCACTTATGCCTCCATCTGCGGCGGCATTGTTAGCTTACTCTGCTTCATGAGAGTGGGCTGGTTGTTGTACAACGAGACTACATGACGTTCCTCATTGCTTGGGTGGACCAGATCAAAGGTGTACTCTTGGACGCCCATCCACATCCCGTCACTGTTGCTCCTGTGTCTGCGGCTGCACCGCATTCCTCGTCGAGAGTACCGTCGACTTCCAGCTAGACTTCGTGGCCGCCGATATTGTCTCACATCCGTTCACATTCCCTGCCCTGCATATGTGAGTGCTTTTGGCCCTGAGGGCCGTATCACGTCGTGTCGAGGCCGAAGGACATTGCGGTTGTGCGCCCACGTGACTGGCGCATCCATGTCGAATGGCTCACTGAGCGAGCGCGGTACAAAGAAGCTCTGATGGAGATCGAGAAATAGGCGGCGGCGACGTGACGGCGGGGCTGGAAGAAGATGTTGTTTGCATCGGAGAGCGGTGCATCGAGTCTTTCGCTAGCCGAGGTGATGTACGCCCTCTTCAATTGTCGACTACGAATAGTGCGCTGATGCGCCAGATGTTCAGGTGCAGTCAGGACACGAAGTGCAGGGACTCGGAAGCCTGAACATTCATGTTTGCGAAAAGGAGCAAGTTACTGGTGCATAGCATATGCGCTGATGCTGTATGATGCTGACGTATGGGTCGTATGACGTTTCCAGTGTCATTTCGGCCGTATAGGCCGAGCTTGACTACGCACTATCCTATCCATCGATACAGACTACAGTCCCTGAGACGACTGTGTACGTGAAGTACCTCGCGGAGCTCTAATCGTTATGTTTATCTGTTGCCGTCTTCCCTCTCACAACTTGTATCTAGCTACACGATGGATTGCCGACATGAAAAGGCTCGCCCTTCCTACCCCTACGCCGCCGGAATGTGTTTGAGCTGATCTGCGAGACCAATTTATGTACGGCTGTGGAGGCCCAAATATTACTTCTCATCGAATTTGACGACGTATTGGCGGGCGGAACGCCGTCGTGCTTCAGTTGCGAATATCAATTCACAGCAGAGTGCTGCAATCACTTTGCTTGTCGGATCACATCTATCCGATACCTGTAAGTACCCCAATCAATTTGATTATGACCGCTACGTTTGCTAGCTCTGAAATGTCGTTCTACTGAGTCGTTTAGATCGGGCGCGTTGTGCAGCAATTGCAGAGCCGAACGTACTGCCTATCTCCCTACTTGAATGTCCTTTTCTGCAGAGACTGTTAGCCGACATCCGACTTCTCAGACATGCAGATGCGGATGAATGATCCCGGTCTACATTACGGTGACTTACCGTCTAATCCAGGTAAAGCTATATGCGGAATATGCATCTACCCTCGTGTTGGACTTCTTGAAGGCGAGGAATCACTACAGTTTAGAAGCCATACGATGTACAAGAGTCCTATGTTCCGCGGACTAACCGACTGGAGTAGGCCTACAGAGACATAGTTTCTGAGATGGTATTCTTACTGGGCGCATGGGCAACAATAAGGAGGCCCTCACGCTCATCATCGAGCAGCTGGGTGACGTGAAAAGGGTAAATCGACGTTGCGAGACTCGCATGCTTAACGCGAGCTCGCTGATATACTGCCCTCTAGGCAATAAACTTTGCGAAAGAGCAACACGATGACGATCTCTGGGAAGGTCTCCTCAAGTACTTCGAAACACGCCCAAGTACGCCCCTTACGCTCACGCAGCACTGCGCAGTGCTCACACTATCTCCTGTGTAGCCTTTGCGACCTCTTGAAAAACGTTGGCGCGGAGATTGATCCCATCCCGCTCATCCGACGGATGAAACGGTGAGATTCCAGGGCTCAAGGGCGCGCTTATGGAGATCCTGCACGATCTCAACCTACAAGCGTCACTCCTTGAGAGATGCCAGACCATTCTCAATGGGGACGCTGCGGAACTTGCCCGTCAATTACACCGAAATCAAACATGCAGGTTTTTCCTGAGTGGTGCGCGCTGTTATTCTGAGTCTATTGTATATCGAAGCTGATACTCACACAGCGCAAACGGTATGTCCAATGTGCAATCGCCCCTTTCACCAGCATATCTATGGGCATGCGTCAATGCTCCTATGTCGACGTGTCATCCACGTGAGCTGCGTGACGTCTGACGAAGCACTTGCACAGCAACTGGTTCGGTGTTCGAATGTCGCGGGAATGCTGAGGGCGGTTCCTAATATGATAATGTTAAAAAGTACAGTCACGCGCGGACTATCATCCTGGTGCGATGCTACTGGAACCTCCAGGTAACTACATCTGTATCGCTCTGTTAACTATTGACAATCGCTGCCCCCAAACCTGCACAACGTCTCCAGCAGTCCGCTCGCTGTCGTCTCGGTCAATCCACGCAGTCCACTACACACGACGGCGCCTTTTCCATCCCGTATGGCAGCGGTCCGTCAGAGATGTCGTCCATCTTTCACACTGCCCAGACGACCGTAGCAGAGACCCAACAACAACTCTCGCCCTTCTGTAGTGGTTAAGACCACTACACGGCCGTTGTACGTACAAGAGGATCTTTACTTACCAATGGCCATTCGTAGATAGCGATCTGTTGTATCGCGAGCGTGCACGCGCGCCGCGCTGGTTCCTGTTACAGTAATATCCCTCTCCCGCTCTCCCCCTGTTTTAGATCACTATCTCCATATGCACAGGTACCCTACGGTCTCGATGTAGTTACCGGCTCGTCCATAAACCTGTTGTGCGTACGCTGTGTAGTCTCGTCGAATCAACGCCAGTATCGGCGCCCCTTTTGTTCGCGAATCCTCGCTTGTCTCTTCGCTCGCCCTCGACAGTTCGACGTCCGGATCCTTTCCGCTACGCGCTTCGCTCGACGTGCCCATTACAGTTTGATTCGACACAACCGGACGCTTGGACACTTCGTTTCCCTTTTCAGCTAAGCACTTTGTTCTCTTCCTCACCGTTGACAATTTTTCTCCCACAAGAAGCACCCACCACATGGCTCAACAAGGCCTCGACCAAGGCTTCGATGGGAGCTGGGGAGACGCGGGCATCCAACAGCCCCCTCAACCTGCTCCTCCCGAGGCCGGGGTGAATCCCACTGACACTGCTGACCGCATTCTCTTCCAGGCTGTCGCTGCACTTGGACGACACCAAGATGCGTTTGCGAACAACCAGCAGCTGCAGAGCGCTGCGCTCGAGTCGCTTGCCCGCAGCATTCACGAGTTGCGGCAGCGTGTGTCTGCGACACCCGCGCCGTCAACATCTGCCGGACCACGTAACATCAAAGTACGCGATCCCCGTATGTTCAACGGGAAGTCCTCGGAGGTCGTACCATTCCTCCGAGAGGTGCGTTCTTACATTGAACTTACTAACATTTCGTCCGAGAAACAAAAGACCACATTGTTCTCGATGTACCTCAAGGACGGTTAGGTGGTGTTGGCGTCGACCTGCCTGCTGAAGGACTTGTGGCTGACTTGGATGACTTGGGTGGAATGGCGTCCACCCCCAAGTTTCGCCTATATTTATAGGCTCTTCAGATCCGCTTGGTCAGCAATAGTCGCACGTCGCGAGGAACGAGCGACCGGGGCGCAGTAAGGCGCGATGTCAGCAAGGACTCGACTGAGAAAGAACTTGCTATGGAGACTTGTAGAATGACACGCCCTCATTGGAGGGACGTGATACTGATTGCTAAGCGGCCCGCCATAGGCCCGTGTTTGTAAGCGAAATCAGCAAAGATGACTCAACCGTTAGTAACAGAGTTTAAAGAAGCTTGCCTACCACCCGAGAACTCGCCGAAACGAGGGGGGCGCATGACTTACTGACATCCCGAAGGCACCATCAGCTTCCACTTCTATCAAACCTTCGAGATTAATCCGAACTTCTTGCGAAAGAAGACTTCTATGATCCGTGATTGGATCAAAGAACTCGGACCCATCTAGACCGTGTCAGGTGACGATGACGTATGTAATCACGTGGTCTTCACGTCATAGCCATAGGCTAGGGTTAGGGTCTGTTAGGTTAGGTTTCTGTTAGGTTAGGTTAGGTTCGGTTAGGTTAGGAGTAGGTTAGGTTAGGCTACAACAATTAATTAAACCGAAGTCTAGTTAGACATCTTATCATGTAATATCGATTAAGATAGCGTACGTTAGGGTTAGGTTAGGTCAGTGCCTTGCCCGACCTGGGCTTCCTAAAGACCCTCGGTTAATACCGTCTGCTTACTAAGGCAGTTTACGTAGCACCTACAAGATTTTGTTTATATGCGTTACATCAACGAATCGAACCGTTTCGATCCCTGGTGCGAAAACACTGGGGCGGCCAATAGGGAGCGGCTTCGAGCCGCCCGGCGATGACCTCAGGACTTTCCCGCGGTTTTGACGACTTTCCGCCGAAGCGTACCGGACGTGTACTAGCCGAAGTACCGGACCCAAAGTGCACCAGCCGGGACGAACCCGGCCGGCCTATCAGCACGTCAGTGTTCCCACCCCATGGGGGATCTATTTGAGCGATGACGCGTACCGTATTCGTCTTCGTAGCCCTAGCTATATAACAACGTCCCGAGGGCCCCCTCGGGCACTTTTGTCCCAAGGGGGCCCTCGGGACAACGCCTTTTTCTGATTTCAAATGATTCAATTTCGTCAAATCTCCTTGTGCTCATATCTTCTCCTCGTCATCGCCTCTTGCTCATCGTCGCCACCAACATTTTCACATTATCATCAATGATACTCTCAAAACTTGTCACATGCCTCTTCCCTCCATCACCATTGTCTTCTCATCGTCAATGTTCTCTTCCACCCATCTCGTCAATGTTCTTTTCCACCCGTCTCGTCAATATTTTCTTCCACCCGCCTCGTCAATGTTTGCTTCCACTCATCATTATCAACATGTTCTTCCATCACCATCAACAAGTCATCGCCGTATACATCGTCACTGTATACATACTCCACACCACCCTCATCTGTATTTGTGTCTTCATTGTCATTGGTTTCATAACTTCCTTTTATGCTGCCCATCCCTGTTGTCTCCACCGACACCATTGTCGAAGATGATTTTGGTACCACTTTCTGGAGTATCATTCATCGCCCATATTGTCAACTCCTCTGGTTTCATCATATGAACCGACTGGATATTGTATGTACTTCATGTTAATACACGGTTTCACATTCTTTTCTAAGGTTAGATCATGCTCATAAGGTTACACAGTTCCGATGGACTCCTGCTGCTCAATTACTTGTGCCAATTTCCGCTTTTTTGATTACATAAGTTGTGTTTGTGCATATATTGTCTGCTTACAAATCATTCCCCATTGGTCTATCAAATGATCAGATCTAGTCTGCCCTAAACTACCCTGGTATATATATACCTTCACCTTTGCTTCCATTCCCATTTCTTCTTCCATCCTTAATTTGTAAGTGGCATTTGTTACTGTTCTTTCATACAATGCTGACATTCATA